ATAGGAGTAAATAATCATGTCATCAGCATATATACAGAGTCAGGAATTGATGACATCAGGAAGAACATCAATAAAAATTAGGAACAAAGCAAGTTTGAAGATAGAGACCTGGGAGACACCTGCATTTATATAGAAAGATCTAGAAGAGTAGCCATTGAAGATAATCTTTGTGATTTGACGAGAAAGTCAGTTATGGGCTATGCGTGATACATGCTTAGGTAATCATGTATCTTTCGATACACAACTGACGAGATAGATTTTTTTTTCCCCACAGTAGGTTGCCATTTTTCTGCAGTAGACCAGTTGCCATCAAAGGCTATAGAACCTAGTCTGTCCAGCTATTTACCCATGGCTGATGGGAGAAGGCTCATACCTTTCCCAAGGGTATTAGCACGTAAGTGAATGTAATGGATTCAACTGGAATTTGAACCCTGCTCTCAGATTCAATCCAAGCCACTATCAATTACTCCACCATGCCTGCCTGACGAGAAAGATTGAACTAAATCAAGAATTTGGCCAGAAACACCATAACCCTTCAACTTGTTAAGATATCTAATGCAACAGCCAGAATTTCACCATTCTTATCTAAAGTTTGACAGACTCTTTCAGCAATAACTATTAACACATCGACAGTTGACCTAGAAAAGTGAAAGCCATATTGCTTATTTGTAAGAGGAGATGCTTAATCAAATCAGAGTTGATTACAGCCTCTAGTACTTTGTCAAAGAGAGATAGAAGACAAATAGATTGGTTGTTTGAAGGATCAAATGGTTTGCTAGAATTCTTAAAAACAGAACTACAGAAGAGGATTTCTAACAAGCTGGGAAGCAAAACAGCACATTCCAACATTGTCTTAACAAGTAATGATTTGCAAAACATGCAAGCTATTACTTTTCACCAAGTCAATGCACTGCATACAATCTTGCAGACGCATTCAATTAATGGCTTTAGTTGCACAAGAGTTAATGGCATCTCAAATTATAAGCAATAGTTTTATAGTTATAACTTCCCTAATGATTCAGAGATAAGTTTTATAGCTGTAAGATGAATATTCTATAACATTAAAAATGTCAAAAACATACATATTAAGCTGGTTGAGACAAATCAAGAGCTAATAATAATAATAATTATATTGCAATTTGTATATAATTTATAAAAGAATACAATTTAAAAAGCCATAAAAAGATTTGAAGTTTTCTAAATAAATGTTGAATTATTTAATAAAATGCAGTTTACCGGGGTGTTTTTGTTAGGGCAAGAAATATAGTTTTCATTGTATATTTACTGTACAACTTGAGACTTCAGTACTGTCCCCCATAATACTGAAAATTATATAATGTATTTCCATTTTTTGCGTAGTGAATTTATTAGGCTGACAAATGTATCTGAAATTATATTAAAATAAAAAGACAAATATACTTCAGAAAGCAAGTTGTTTGATAATTCCAAGTCCTCAGCAAGACAGAAATAAATACTTATGAGTCAGTAGAAACAACTATTTCAACATTTAATTCATTAGGCTAAAGGATTCTTTATTTTTAATTTTTACAAATGCACTATTTCAGTAAGCAACATTTAGGAAAACATTTATCTCACTTATTTTCAAGAAATAACCGACTCAAATACAGATAAACAAGTCATTAAGTGAATTTATCTACAACTTTGTATACAATGCATCTACTTAGTGAAAAGTGAGTTATCAAGCTAGTTTTGCAAACCAATGCTTGCAAGAGTTTAACCCTGATTACCAAATTAGACAATGTATATTCCTGTTAATAAACAACCAACCAGCTCTATAAACAGAATATTTTTAAAATCCTTACAAGTTTAGTAGCAAAGTACCTGGCTATTGCCAAAGTAATGTGGAATCTAACAAGTTAAAAAGGAGGAAAAAAGAAATTTATTTTCTGAAAGCAAAGTAGTAGAATCCAATACACAAATATCTTTAGGGAATTTTTTTTCCTAACTTTTAAGAGATGATAAAATTGCCATTAAAAGTGGTGCACTACATAAATCTCAATGTGTATTATCCTTTAAGTTACAAGTTAATAGGAATGCAAGTCCTTTAATCTAACAGGAGGTATAGTAGCATTGGCAGACATTGTAAACAAAAGAAAAGCAATTCAGTTTTAGGTAAGTATATGTAGACAGAAATTATTAAAAACTAAGTTTTCCTTCAAAGAAATCAATTTATTTAATTTTTATTTTTTTACTTTTTCTTTTGTAAGATTCAATACAAAACGAAATATAGACAGCTTGTGTCTGAAGATGAAAAAATAAATAAAACAGACGCACATTAATGATTGAAGTAGCTTTAAACACAGAATTTAATTTCAAAGGCAATGGAATCTGCATAGCCTGAAGAATTTTAAGTAATAATCCCTTTATTTCTTAAAATCATTTGCACATTTCAGTGTTCTATTTTAAACAAGTTACATTGCAAACAAAATGTATTCTATATGGTTATTGTTCTTTCAGGAGCAGGGTTATTGGGAAAAGTTGCATAACAAGATTAGGTAAAGTCAGCAATGAATAAACTTGTTTAATATTTAAACAAAATGGATACAATTCATCTGACAGCTGATGTTATTTTTAATAGCATTGGAAATAAAATCCAGTGTGTTGTGACTACTTGATTAAAAAAGAAAAATTGAAAATCTTAAGGCTGTAAAAGAAAAAAAAAATTTAAAAAAAAGTAACTGAATTTTTTCATAATGTTTTATTGTCCGTTTTTGTTGCTTTGTTTCTTATTGACTATCACTTCCAAATATTTGCATGAATACAATGTACAAAACTAAAGAAATAGAGAGAGAGAGAGACAATAAAAGAGAAAGAGCTGAGAAAAAAAAAAAAATTTCAAAACTGTTGAAAAAGAAAAGTAAACAAATAAATAAGATAGAATAAAAAAAAAAATGTAAAGAATTTAAATAAATAAAAATCCAAATGTGTTTCTATCTCCCCCCAGGGTACTGCATAACCTCACATTTGTCAACCAGCTCCTAAATAGTGGCTGTGTTGGGGAGCCTGTGCAATGTAGCAAGTTGCAGTCAATGAATTTGGCTGGAAACCCAGTGCAACCATCAAAAAATCTAGTAGCACACTAAAACACACAAATAATTAATCTTTCAGTAGTAGAGCAGCAAAAAGATAAAAAAAAAAAAAAAAAAGTTGTGATATGACATTGATTTTAGGAGTATATGATGTTTAAAAAATGTATTGTGGTGTCATATATATATATATATATATATATATATATATATATATGCATTGCATTAAAAAGAAAAAAAAATCACGTTCAGTGAATAAATGCCAATCAGTTTTTAATGTGAAAAATTGTCAGATGATAATCTGGATTTCAAAGCTTGTGTATGTTCTGAGCAATGTAGTTTTCAGATATATGGATTGAATAAATTTAAATGCCCACAGAAGTCTGTCAATTAAAATGTCAATCAATAACTTAAAATTTTTTTTTTCATATTTTTGTAGAAACAAAAAAGTGAAAAGATTGGCATTTTTATTGAAACAGAACTTTAAGAATAAAAATTAACTTTAAATCAATGATCAATGGAAAAAAAAACAAAACAAAAAAAAAAAATTCTGATCCATTTAAAAAAAAAAAAAAAAAAAAGATTCTCAATTTGTGTGTAATATTTATGAAGTTTCAAGTTAGTGATCTTAAACCTTCATATTTAGAAAAAAAGAATAATCACTTAATTACATTAAATTAAAATGGTCACTGACCTCATGGAAAAAATTGAAATGGTACCACTCATTTCAATATCACTAAAAGAGAAAAAAAAAAAAAAAAAAAAAAAACATCACTAAGATAGCTGCTCAGGTTCTTAAAACTGACCATTATTTTTTGATCACTAAATTGATAGGGTGCACAAAAAACTTCTATTAAAACATTCAGAACAAAGAGGAAATTTCCAAGTATGGAAAAGTCTCCTTATTATGATAATTTTTATAGAAATTGCGAGCAGGCAACCAGTCTGATATCTTTCCATTATGGAAATTATATTTTGTTTTATGATTTCAATTGACATTTCAATTTCTAAGCTTCAAATTAATATTGGTTACATTTATGAAAAGGTTATTTTGGTAGGGGGTATGAAAAGTTTGGAAATAAATATTTTGATAATTAGGTTAGATTTTAAATGCAATAGAATTATGAATTGGCAGAATAAATAATATTTATACACTAATGATATCTTGTCTCTTGGTAAGAAAAAAAACCAAGCTATTTTTAAGCAACATTAACAAAGCAGCAAACTTATCGAAATACTTTAGGTGTGTGTGTTTGCGCTTCAGTTGAAAAGTGTAATTTACAAGATAGTGCATTCAAAATTAATATTTATGAATAAAATTACTGCTAATAATGTTTTTATGAGTTATTTACTTACAAGAGACCAAGAGGTCTCTATACATTATCCATGTAAACAAGGATAAAATAGCAGCAATTAAATTTTAACTTTCAAATGTTGATTTTTCAGCAAATGTTTGAAAAATTGTCAATGCTGACAGATATAGCAAAGTGAAACACGAGTAGTAGTTTAAAAAAATCAAAGTGGAAATCTAGCAGATGAACATGCAGTATTATTATATAGTTATTTTTCATGGATACAACAATCAAAAACTAAATGTATTCTCTTGAAACAAGCAATTGTTTCTGTTCATTACTGTTTTTTTTTTGTTTTTTTTTTTTATTGATCTTTTCAATTGCTCCTACTCAGTTAATTAGAATATTTTTAATGGTGAGAGCATGCTTCAATTCAATGTATTATAGATATTTTTCATTCAAGAGATGTTTTACTACTTGAACAACATTAGATTTCTAATAGATTGTGTCAAACTGGTTGCCTGTAATGTGCTTAGTCAGTAAAAGATACATGGAAACACTTTAGACACATTCAGTAGATAAGTTATAAAACATACATTTAACGGAGCTGCTTAGTTAATAGCATACATTGTGAGGCTATGTAACTCCCTGGGTTATGAGGTTATGTTTTATTAACAGCTTTCAAATACTGCAGAGCATTATGAGCTGCCTTGCCATGACCTTCTTCCACTGTTGGTCCAGTTCCATGGCATACAGCCATTGGAACAACTGTCATCTGGACAAAACACTGGAACTGACCTGAAATCATAACAAAAGATCTTGTATTTAAAGCACTGAAATAAACAAAAAAATGCAAAATAAAATTCCTCATATAAAAGAAAAGCTTTATATCCCAAGAACATATATAGAAAGACAAATGAATAATTTCTGCAATGTAATAAAAAAAAAAAAAAAAAAAAAAAACACTTATTCTTACATAGAATTCTTAGATAATTGAAATAGGAATTTTTTAGATTACTATCATGAGGTGCTATAGAATTCAGTTAATATTTATAAATTTGAGGGAGAAGTTTTTTTTGTTTTGTTTTTTTTTTTTTTAAGATGAAGGATAAAAGTCTTAAAAACAGGAACAAGGAAGCATATATGCTATCAGAAAGAGTTGAAATTTCTTGGTCATAATAAAAAAAAGAAAGCCTAGAGAATTTAGCACTCACAAGACAAAGAAAAAAAGTATGGGAGGGAAACAGTAACATACTTAAAGAGATTGTATAAATGGATGGTAGAACAGGGACAAAGAGGAATGGTAAAGGGCTAAAATTACTTAGAGCAACAAAAGACAAGATTATGGAGAGCAATGATTGTTCATGTCATGAAAAGCCTTGACATATAAAAGGGAATTACAGTGCTTCTATATTAAGTTAATTTCAATTGAAGGTGTCAAAAAATTATGTTTTGTCCGTCAAACTTTATTTCCATTAATTAAAGAATGATGGCCACTTTTAAATTTTAGTTAATCTATACCAGGAGCAAAATAAGTTAACATTATCAAACAAATACAGTTTACTGTTGTTGTGTACAGACTTAAAACACACATAAAACAAGTACAGAATTGGATGGGCAGGATTTGAGTTTTCTATAATACTCTAGTGCTAATTTTTCATATCTTAGCTTTATGTGTGCTTTATGGGCTTCTTGTAACAGAGAGGTATACACAACACACTCACATGAATGCACACACGCAAATATAACTTTTATTGACTGGAAGTGGAAATGGTGTTTATACATCAAAGTACAATTTGGGTTAAGATGTGTTTACCGATGAGAAACACGATCTCAGGCAGGAGGTGATGTTTTAAATTTGGGTCATTAGAAAAAACAATGAAAAAATGATCTAAATAAAATTCATCGGTTAAAAATTGAAATAGAGCTTACTCAGGCTACAATACTCGGGCTATAATTTTGGGGAAGCGAGAAGAACTCGTGGTAAATAATTGGAGAATCAGTTTACATGTCAAGGGATAGTTTTTGGCACTCATGATAATCGCATGCCGGGCCAAGGGTCGATTCATGACCAAACAGATTTATCTATATAAACCAGTGTAGTTATGCTGAAGAAGAAGCAGACGGTTGGGCAAGATGGGGGAGAGAGATGGGTGAGACCACAATTGGTCAGCACATTGCCATAACGTGTGTGGGCACCCGCCAACGACCATTATGGGTTGTGGCACTACAAGACAGCCAGGAGAAGTCGTTGAGAGAGAGAATTCAAGCAGGACGGAAGAGGCCAGACGGGAGAGAGAATTCAAGCAGGACGGAAGAGGCCAGACGGGAGAGACCCTGATCGTCAGCGCGGGAAAGGCCAACGGGGAACGAGAACGTCGTCGAGAGAGTCACGAGAGATTTGTGGGAGAATTAGAGAAGGAAGACCGCCCCCTGTTCTGAGAAGTCTGTATGAGACTGGACTACTAATCATAAACCTACCCCAGGCGATTCAATACGCATTTATCACACACAAACCCTCTCTCTGTTGGGAATTTACTGGATGCATTTTGTCTTTTTCTTTTCTCATTTATGTTAAATGTTTTTATTCTCCCTGTAACCTCTGTTCTGATGTTATCTTCTTATATAAAAGACGTCAATATTTCCCCCATCGTTGTCTGGCTTTGGCAGATATTATTTCTTGTTTTATTTTGCCACTTTCTAAACTTCCTAGTGCCAACTCTCACAGCCGTGTCCACATCCCCAGTCAACCGTGAACATATGGACAACACCCCGCTTACTGGATCTAAAAACTAACACAGCATGGTCAGCAAGCAGGACTTGACCAGTTGACCGGTCAAAATAATCTACGGGTACTCAGGGAGTGTACGTCCAGTTACCCCTAAGTTCGGTTCAGACTGAGTGGACACCTCAACCCAAAGAGGAAGACGCTGGAGGTTGAGGGACTGGGGACGAAGTGGTAGATTCTATAGGTTTCAAAAACTCCAGGCTTCTTGGAAGCTAATCTTTATCTTTATCAAATAAGATTTTTGATCTGATCTATAAATAAAGCAGCCATATACCAGTTTTGATCTATATATTTTTAGTAAAGTTGGCTCTTCACTCTATATGGACCCTACTCATAGCAGTTGTAAGGCTTTATTACATCTGGAATTCTGTTTATTTAAGTATTTCATGTGGAGATAAAAGTTGATTTTTTTTTAACATAATGATTCCAAAAAGTTTGTATTCTTCAATTAGTTATTTATGTTTGTTCAAGTTTCAGAAAAGAGGTCATTAAATATTTTTTTTTTTTTACAGTTGACGAAAACAAAATTTTCTTGCTACATATTAATTTATCCAACTTAGATATTACTGTAGTTGATACACTATTATGTGAATATGTCCTGATCTATATAGCTTAAAAAAAAAAATCAGACATAATCAAACCCCTGAATTTAGGCATTTAAAGATATTGTTAACCTTGTTTCTGAATGTCAGAGAGGGTAGATCCTACACAAACTTTCTAAAATGAAAGTATAAAGTTAGATAGTCTGCCACTCAGCCTGAGGTCATTTAAGCTTCTCAGGATACCAAGTATTATATATATATATATATATATATATTGCTGCCAGGGTTTTTTATTATTCCATTTTGAAAATGTCTAAGCATATAAGGTAATTAACAGCACTTCTTTTGTTTCAGCAGCAACATTGGAAATTGAAACTTGATTTTCATAAACCAGGCTAGCCTTTTTATCATATATTCTCATTCAAAATGAGGACATGGATTACAGCATTGGGTTTGATTGACGGATTTGTTTAACAGTCTATCAACTCCTTATGGGTCATTTAATGCCCAAATTTAATTTTCTTGGAAGCTTTGAAGTAATAAATTAGAATATATGTTATAAAATAGGATATGTTATTCTGCTTTCACAATTGAATACATGGTAGATGATAATCAACTTTTGTGCATATGTTTATGCAGTGTGCAGACATAATTACTAAAGGTGATGATATGTGCGTTTTATGCTGTAGATTTGTTGAAGTTATTTTAGAAGACTGATTTCTTTAAGAAATTGTAGTATATTATATGGATTAATGCCATGAAAGAGTTCTTTCATGTTGGTTGTTTGGTAGTAGCATTATTTTTAAGGTTTAGGAAACATTGATAGATTTTTCTTATTGAGGGAGTTTCTTGTTTTTGTGAAAATGTCTTGGTATTATTTTTTATGAGTTACTTTGGTGTTTTTACAAAATGATTTAGAGAAGTTATTTTTTTATTTTATTTAGGAGTTCAGTTTCCTGTGTGTATGTATTTCAACATTTCTTTGGTTCTTTTGTTTTTGTTTTTTTTGCTTGATGTTAGAGGATGATTGTATAAAGCCACTCATTGTAATCTGATGTCTTTACATTTGTTATCAAACCAGGTTCTTTAGCATTTTTTTGGAGTTAAACTCTTGGACACACATTCCTTTGCTATGGAAATTAGTGTCTATGTGAAGTGATTTGCGGAGTCTTTAATATTGTCACTTAGTTTTGTTACATTGAGATCTAAAGCCTTTCTAATTTACTGTTTAATTTCCAGCGAGGAAGGTTTTCATCATTAAGTTCCAGGTTTTTTTAATTGTAAGGTGATTGCTAGTACATGTGCCATCATGTACTATCCACATCTCAGTAAATTGTAGGATTGATAAATATATAACCAAGTAGTTGCCAGTAGCTGGATTGAGTTGTTTTGAGATTTCTTGTTGAATAGGCATAAATTATTGCTATCAATGTCTTCTAAGGATGTTTTTTTGTGTTCCTAGATCTCCATGTAATACTGTGATCATTGAAGTCACCCAGTAGGATGAAGATTTTCAGAGCTATTCTCATTGTATGCTGAGCTAATATTTATTTATGGGATTATGATTATTTTACTAGCATATCAACCACTATAGGTCATTAGTGCAAAAATGTCATTAATATCTATTTATGGGATTATGTAGTAGAAATATATATGGAATAAATAACTGTTTTATGTAGATTAATTTTATTTTGTAGTATATCATTTCTAAGGGTATATACACATCCAGAAACCTTATAACCAGTAACCTATGTAACTGTATTGTTCATAGATTTGATATTGATGCTATTGTTTTATTTACTTTCAAGAAATCTTTCTTAAACAAGACAGTAACTTCAATATCAAAAACTATGAATACAATACGATACTTCTGTTAATAGTACATTAATGATACACTTTGGTCCAAAATAGTTCCACTGGATGATTTTATGAGTCATAATGTAGAATAGGGGTTATCTATTGGGAGTTTTGATCTGAATGAGTTTATGAAGTTTTATTGTATAGGTTCCATTGTTCCAAGTATGTTGAAACAGTTTGTTTCCAGAGGATATTTGAAGTCTATAGATCCTTCCAGTTGTGTTCTTTGCTTTGAGGAGGATTGTTGGCATGGTTTATTTTGTGATCTTTGATTAGGAGATTTTTCTCAGTAACAAGGAAGATACTGTAGTAAAATGGAGTGGTTACATTGGAGATCTTTGTGATCTCTGCAGGGTTTGGGTTTTGGATTTGAGGGTGTTCAAGAGAAGAATCTTGGTTGAGAAGAAGGCGTTATTAACAGTTTCTGTTTTGTTGGAATGGCTTGTGATTTTCTTTTTTCCACACGAATGTTTTTATGGAGATTAGCAGTGGAAAGGGTTACAGTTTATCCAAGTGTTGCTTTTATTTCTTTTATGAATGCTGGTCAATCGTGTAGTCGTAGTTTTTGAAGCCTCTCTGTGAGTGCTTTGTATTTATCTATTTAGCTGGCATTGGTTGCAATTGATGACCTTTTCACAACACTTTAGTATAACATTTCTGGCCTGAACCTCTACCATCCTCCCTCCTCTGGAAATGGCACACTTCTGTATTTCACCTCCATAATTTCTTCCTTTCCTCCAGATTTTGCAGGTTTGTGTATATTCCAGGTGATTTCTTTAATAGCAGATTCAATTACTGTTACATTCCCCCATCAGAGTGGTTGGAGTATTTTAGTCTACATCTCTTACAGGTTGGTTGTCCCGCACATTTAGATATGTGATACCCAGATTATTGGCATTTGTCATAACATAAAAGGGAAAGTATGTATTGGTCCACTTTCTTGAGAGTGGAACCAATTTAGATTTCTTTTGGTATGGGGAGGAGGGGGAGTTAACCATATATGTTAGTTTGTCATTTTTATGTTTATTCTAAGATCTATAACCCCCTGACTTGAGAAGTTTTCATTTCACCCAGTATGAAAAGGGATAGATAGTTCAGGGATTCTCACTATGCCCTGGTTTGTGTTTGGTGTGGATAGGTTTTTATTTTTATGTTGTGGGATGTGTATCCTCAACAATGCTTGCTGCTTCTCCCACCACAATATTTCCAGGTTTCCAGTTTGTTTTTTTTGGACCTTTTATAAATTAAATCTTAAGGATACAACTTATCAGCCTCTTGTTGATCCCAATGATATTTGGATTTGAAACAACCAAGTAACTTAAAATATTTGCATGTGTGTCATAACTGTTAAGAGTTTGGCATAACCACCTGATTAAGCAGATCAAGTCTTTTCAACTGCCTGTCTCATCCAAGTGGAATGTTGCAATGCAATCCACCAGTTACTACCACCAAGTGAACATTTACCCCACTCTTCAGGGATGTAGCTTATTCTAGACCCCAACAAGATTATGTATGTGTATATATATATTACATACACCCCCACACACGGAGATGCCTAAACACACTAGGGAACTTAGCAAAAAAATAAAGAAATCTACATTACCTCTTCTGACGAGGCAGGTGCAATTGTGATCATGAACAAGAATACAAAGAAAAAAATTAATTCACTACTCAACAATACCAACACACATGAAAGAACAAGCAAACAAAACAATTACTGAAATGCAAAAAATTAGCAAGGACATTAGGAAACTAATTAAAAATGAAACAAAGACTAATAAAATATCACCCTAAAATGCCCAAACTTCAGTGTCCCTAAAACCACAAAACAGGTATCCCAATGTACACCAGAGGCCATAACAAAAATTCTAGCCTTGGAACAATCAGTCCAACTCATATAATGAGAAGGAAGAAAAAAAAAAAAAAAAAAAAAAATCAAGCAACCTAGTTGAAAAACTAAGAGAAATAAATATGACACTCATTGCCAGTCTACATATAAAACCACTTTACACTAATGTTCCAGTTAAAAAATGCTTAAATCTCTTAAGAAAAAAAAAAAGCAAACAAAATGAGAAACCTCTTCCTATGAATAGCTAGAATAATAAAAAACTGGTTCTCATCACTAATCAATGTTATTTCACATTTTATTTTTATAAACAAAAATTTGGATTACCAATGGGATTGCCTCTTAGTGACATGATGACATGTATTCCTTTATTTAGTATTCCTTGAATTTGGTCCCCTCCAAAATATTTTACCCAAACAATCGACACATTTCCAATATATTGATTATGCTATTAATATATCCTTGTGATACTGATTTACATGACCTTGTAGATAAACTTAAAGTTGAACACACAATAGAATTTACATATGAAAAGGAAGAAAACAATACTTCACCTTTCCTAGATATCATGCTACACTGTTAACAGTAGCTTAAAACTTAGTGTACACCAAAAATCAACTAATAAAAAGGATCTAATAAATTTCTATTCCCATCATAATGAAATAAAATCCAGAATAATCGTCGTATTCTATTTTAGAGTACTCAGATTTTACAACCTTCTTCTATACCCTATTTTATATTCAATGCAAAACAAAAGGCTCATAAAATATTCCAAAATAGAAAAACACTGACAAACCCAATGAATGAAAAAAATATATCCTACCAACTATCACAGCTAAAATTGAAAAGAATTTATCTAAACTCAACATAAAATTTGTTATAAATACATCTAGATCAATAAAAGACTTATAAATATAAAACAAAACAAACAATAAGCTAAAACTTTGAGGAATTTGCTGTTGCAGTAATAATTGTCACAAAAAATACATAGGAGAAACTTCAAATTTAAATAAAAGATATCAACACAAAGGGTCATTTTACAGAACACATTAAATGCATTAGTTGCTCTCAGTAACAAGACTGACCACAATTTTAATATTAAAAATGCTACTCTGATCAAATGAGAAACAATTAAGTAAAATTAATGTTTAGAGAGTGCCTTGATCACTAGATCATCCACAGTAAATTTGTGCCCAGGTTTTACATTTCACCATTCCTGGCAGATCTATTATTACAGTGCGGGATAACTAATAACAAGTGATGGAAAGAAACTAAAAGAATCTAGACATAATCAACTAGATTATATACCCAAAGCACATGCAAAAAAATAATAAAAATTATAAAAAAAAAAAAAAAAAAAAATTGAAAAGTAATTTAAAATTCCCAGTATCTCTCATTCATGTGCAATCACACCAATGTAAACGGATTTAGTCCAATGAAGTCCTAAAGGACAAAACATGTCAAAACAAAAATTTTGACCCACTTTGTCATACCTTTTCCCCCTATATATATATATATATATATATATATATATATATATATATATATAACATAAATAAGGTAACTCACTTTACTACTACTCATATTTCTTTCCTGGAAGTTTTTAATTTATATTTGAAGATAGTTAATAACTAAAATTGTAAAATAAAATGACTTCTTCATCATATATATATATATGATTTTCAAGCTTAATCAAATTAGTAAAATCATTACTAAAAACAAACAAAAACTATGAAATAAGAGTTATTTAATATTTCAAGAGGTTTTTTTTTTTTTTTTTTTTTTAGTCTTTTGACATTCTAAGCTTTTCAAAAACAATTAGCATTTAATTTTCAGTTTCAATGAATGTAAAAACAATTTTCCAAAACACTTACCTTCAGTAGTTTTTTCTGCAAGATCATGGTAGGTCAACATGAAGCGCTGAACTTCAGCAATTTCTTGTAACATCTGACAATAATTAATTTTCTTATCACTGGGCAGAGTGTTGTTCTTTTTACCACCAGATTTAACTATTTTGTCATAAAATTGCTGGATCTCTTTATCAATTTGCTTAGGATTGGAATAAGAATGGTTTACACGCTCTTTTATAGTTGAATAGGAAGAAATTCGAGGCTCAGAACTCTGTTAAAAGAGAAAGAAAAAAGTTAAAATATTTAAAATATACAAGAATCCAAACACTCATAATTCAAGCATAAATAAACAGTACTGTAATAAAATTTCTATTCAACATTGTAGCAGTATATTTTTTCTCTCTCTTCAAAGGTATAATACACCAGAATCCCTCATTGACTAAACAGCTTCACCTGATGTTTTTTTTTTTTAAATTGAATTTACCCCAAGCAAGGCAGTAATGCCACTAAGACCCAAGGGGTTACTGGGTGTGAAAGAATTAGGAAAAAAAAAAAAAAAAGAAAACATGAAAGAGTGGGATCAATAGATAGATAATCATTGATATTGCATTTTAACTTGTGAAGATCAAACTTGTCTGGAAATTATGGAGCTATATGAGAGTTCCACAAGCAAGAAGTGCAAGTAAAACTGTTAGAACAGAGCTTATGGTTACATCTAGCCAATGCAGTTATAAATTGAGGAGACCTTGTTAGTACTGCGCTTAAATTCATAAAGTCTAGGTCCAATAGCAAAGAACTCATCCAAATAATTACCATGAAAGTATTTATGGAAAAGGCACAGGTAAGCAACTTTACGGTGATGGGAAAGTGACCAAAGCTGAGACACCAGGTTAGGACCAATAATATTGCTAATTTTCCTTTGGATTTTATCAAGAATTTAAATAAATAGCAGGAGCACTGGACTACATGTGGCAGCAATATTCTAAGCACTGGCAAATGGTAGACTTATAGATATGTAAGACAGATTTTAGAGATGTATTTCAATTCCTGTCTGTGGGTAGGAAAGTGACACTCGAGACATCTTCACTGCTACTTATGTCTTCTCTCACTTGCACTTGATCCTTGAAGTTTTTATTTCCTTTTTCCCTACTTATGGACAACAGATGACTGCTTTAAAGATCTCACATTTAAATTTTAGTGTTGGCTATCATAAAACACCAGTGGCTTTGGGCATAGATACATCACATCACTGACATTGAAAAAACAGTTACAGAACTACAACAACATTCAACGCTTGCAATATAGCTTCTGTTTTTAACTTCTCATTCCATCATTTATTATAAATATCTGCTCATCAAATAAGAAATTTGACAAATATTCTACTTGGAAGACTTTCTTTTTTTCTTAAATCTATTTAACTATAGAGTCACAAAAATTTACATAAATGCATAACAAGGCTGTAACTTTACTTTTTTTTTTCTTTTTTTTTAAAAATTTGTTGCAATAAAGTACTCGACAAGAATTATGAAATACAATAGCATGGAAGTTTAATGAGTCTGCCACAGAAGTAACTGAAAAGAAACTTACCAGTGGGATCTCATCTTCTTCTTCAGAATCTTCAATGACTGGAGGAGAAGATCCACCTTCTGCTTGCAGGCTACGAATGCGAGTAAGCATTGCATGGGCTGCAGCTCGCTTGGCACTTTTCTTTGATCGTCCAGTTCCTATAAAAAGATAAAAATTCATGCTGAAATTATTTTGAGCAGTACTAAACAGGACAAAATTATCTAAACATTATATTAAATGTGCACTGTCAACTAAGGAGTTCCTGGAGTAGGAATAAAAACTTGGATATTCAAGTGGACAGGATTTGTGTGTGTTGAGAATTACTTACAATGTTATTTTTACATCACTGATCTACTTGATTCAGTAAACTACAAACATGGATTTAAGATAAAAAAATTTTATGCCAGCAGAATAAAACAGGTGTAAAGATCATACATAAGTACCTTCAAAAAAAAAAAAAAAAAAAAAAAAAAAAAAAAAAAAAAAAAAGCTTAGAAGGAAGAGAAGAAGAAACATGACAACTTTTCCTATTTTCTTACAGGACAAAAATCCTTAAACTGACAACAGAACCATGACAACAGATTTAGCTTACAATAATCAACAGAAATAAAGGTCTGTATAAGTGATTTTTGACTGGCCAAAGAATAATAGACAATTATTGCAGATAAACTTGATAAACACACACAGATCAAAAGAGCCATACTAATGTGTTCTATACAGGTAAAAACAGAAACAGTAATTCAAAAGCCATGAAATTTTCTATTGTCCAGGTACGACAAATTCTTCAGTATTCTAAAAGAATGCAATGAAGACTGAAAAGAAAAGGAGAGAGAGAGAGAAAACACCTCAGTTACAAGTGAAACTGAGTTCAGCCACTGATAACATCAAAATTTCAGTAATATTAAGAAAAAGGCGAAACAATTCAGTTTATCAAAGTATAAAAGCTGAGAATAAAATTAGATTCCATATCAAACAAATACAACTTACAAGGTGAGACTGGTAAATTGTCGCCATTTTATATTTTTAATTTTGTGCATGCACTTTATTTGTTCTTGTCGACTGCACAGTATAGTAGGGTCAGTTGGGCACCATCTGTGAGAAAAAGAGCACCAAGATGCAATTCACTCTGCCAGAAATTTGGAAATAGCATACTATACTGCTTGGCATTTGTACCAGAAACTCCAATATGAACATTTGAGAGTGTTTGGGTGTCAATCTGAGGACAGTGCAGAAGATTCAAAAAGAGTTGGATAAGTCTAATGGTTATTACAAAGGTGTTTGGAGTGATCACTAATGATAGCAATTTTATATCTCAATTCATCTTCCCACAAGGCCCCAGACTCAACATGGAGGCCTACAACAAGTGCATTGAGGAAGTAATGCTGCCCTGAGTCAAGAGGACGACTGCTGGAAGGCTATGTCTGGCAACAGGACTCTGCACCATGACACACAAGCAGGAGAACCCAGTCATGGCTGTCAGACAATTTCTGTGACCACATCACCCCTTACATCTGGCCACATAACTCCCCAGATTGCAACCTCCTTGATTATTATGTATGGGACAGTTGAACAAGAAACCAATAAAATTCCTTGTAACACCAAAAATGAACTGAAGCCAAGGCTTATGGCAGCATTCACAACTTAAACAAGGAGAACATCCTGAAGAGTTGCAGGAGATTTTGAAGTCATCTGGAGGTTGTGTTGAAGCCAATGGTGATTTTATTGAATAAATTTACTCTTTTGCATTTCAAGATATTTTTGTGTAATTTTGATAAATATGTTAAAATAAGATGTCAGTGTTACTTTCACTTTTGTGTAATTTAGACGACAATTTATCCATCGCACTCTAAGTACAAACATAACAATAAGTAATGTAATATATACATACTGGACACAGATAGTTGGACAAATAACCAATCAACAATATAATAAGTAGCATGATAACAAATTTGAACACACAAAGCGGTACTGAAAAGTTCTTAACCTGACCAAGAAATTTCATTATATATATATATATATATATATATATATATATATATTTGAAAAAACAAAAATCAAATACAACTTTAATGCAAACAAGCTCTAATTTTTCAGACATACCTCTTTCCTGGAACTTTCCTAGTTTAACAGTGCAATAGAATTCACGGGCATGAGGTGGGCCCTGAGGGCTATCCAAATCATAAATAGGAGGCCGGATGAGATTTTTCTGTGCAAATTCTTGAAGCTCACCAATAGGGTTTCCAGGGACCCCTTCTTCAGAAACAGCTGGTGATCTAAAAATTAAAACCAATACAACTTAATATGTATTATTAACCACTGCAGGTTGAGCCAATTTTATTCATTTTTCAGATTCTTTTAAAATAATTTTTATCTTTAATTACTTACTTTGTGGTAGTTTGTGTGCAAGAGTTACCGGTAAGGAAAGAATTATTTATAACAGAAATGTTGAGAAAGAAATTACTGTCACTTGCACTTTTTTACGTACAGACTAATACAATAAAATGATCACTTAAGATATTAAAATGGGTAGTGATACAAAAGCAAGATGGTATTTCGGCTATTATTTCCATAACAGAGATTTTTAATATGCGCTTCAAAAAGCACAAGGAAGATTTTTCTGATATAACAAAATAAAAGCCATGTAGATATGTTTCAAAGCAATTTTTAAACATGAATAAATAGCACTACATTCCATAACGTATTATCAAGGATTAAATTTTAAAATAAAAATTCAAAATGCTTGGACAGAGTATATCAAATGAAGATTAAAAGTCAAAACTATTACAAAGATAACTTGGTAAAAAATCTAACAATTTTCACTTCTAATTTCAAGCCATAACAGGTTTAACTTGCTGTAAATTTTTAAAAAAATCCATAATGCAACAGAATTATAAAGGAATTTTAAGTCTATCATCAAATTAGAAAAGTTTAACAAAGTCCTAATAGAGCACAAACTAATTGCATTTGTAATATTTTAAATATACACTTTCTTCATAGAATAATTAAATGAGCATTGTAGTCATTGTTAAAATTTATCTATATTAAATTATCTATAAAGCAATTGAGTTTTAGATTATCATTTTTTCTAGAATGCATCAGCCTATTTAAACCTTTAAAACATTGATTTAAGAGAGTATTATCCCATAAGAAAAAGGATATCTCATGGAAGAGATGGAAAGTGAAATGGGAGATATACTTATTATATATATATAATTAGTCCTCCCCATTCACTCAAGTAAAGATAGCCTTTAAAAAAAAAATTTTTTTTTTAAAAAAATCAGTAATTACTTAAATTAAACACTGACCTTTGACATCAATGAAAAATATACAAACATCTCATCCATAAAGCTATCTACTATCCAGCTTTTATATTTTAAAATTAAATATTTTTTATGATTATTGTTTTAAGCACACATTTTTGTAAAAAATAACATGAAAAACTAAAACTTACTGTCTCCCATCACTTTGCTGCTCACTTTTAATGCCTAAAATCTGGTTATGTGCTGCCAAAGCAGCAGAATGCTTGGCCTTTTTCTTACTGGATCCTTACAAAATAAAAAGAAATTCATTTTGAGTTTATAAAAGAAACAGGGAATTCTCAAATTAAATATTCCATTAAAAGTAATTGTGCAGAACAAAATCAAATCAAAATTTTTTTTTTTTTTACCCCAAATTGATACAGCATAAATAAGCTGAGAACAATGTATTCCTTACTGGTGTCATATGTCAAGGTATTTTTTTAATGCTGTCTCTTTGGGATGTAAGCAATTATGGTTCTCCACAGATGATTCCTTTCCTTTGTGAATTGCCATACCTTCTTGGGAAAGAGTTTCTTTTTGCCTTCTCTACAATTTTGAATTCAGAGTTGTCCTTTTCCTAGACTGTCTGCCACTCAAGGTTAGAGAACACAGTCTAGTCTACTATTTAACCCATAGCTGAAGGTTGGGGGAGAATTGGATTCATGCCTTTCCCAAGGGCATTAATATGAAATTAAACACAACAAACTAGGTAAGATCTTGAACTCTACTGAATTTACTGTGCTGATAGTCATTACAGTACCCACATATTCATATCAAAATACATTGCTTAAGAAAAAGTTAATGTGAAACTTTTTATTCTTAGTATAAGTTTCTAAATCATTCTGATCGAACAACAGAAGTAAAATAAGTGATGTCACCCTCAAAAATAAAAGGATTCAAATTTTGGCAAATATACATCTTCATGCATGCAAAAAAATGACGTGTCAAAAAGACAATTTTTCACACGACACCTTTTTTTTTAATTTTTTTTTTTTAACTACATCAGACTTTGGTAATGTTTGTTTTAAAAAAAACAATGATTAGTATTGTAATAAAGCCTAAACATATGAAAATGAGTTTAAACATTTTCTTTGTTCTTGAGGATTGACAAAAAAAATAAACACTATATTGTTTATTGGAATATTTGTCAAAACATTGGCTAATTGCCAGTTGATTCAAACTTTATAAAATGGTAAATAAGGATTTCCTTACAGTTGGTACAAATATTTTAATAATTTAGTAAATGTTTATAAATTTATGAATAAAATTGTTTTCATATTTATTTCTTTTTAAATTGATAAATGAAAAATATGGCATTGCATTGGTTTTTAGAATGTTATAAATATGAAATTATTCTTGTAAATAAACAATCTAATACTGTTTAATATTTTTGTTGTAAATTCTCAAGTACAAAAAAAAAATTCACTTTCTTATGTTTGTATTATTACAAATCTTATCACTTTAAAATCATAAATATTGCCAAAGAGTGAAGGTAGTTAAAATAAAAGCAGTGTCGTGGGGGGGGGACTATCCTTTTGATATTCTGTATGTTTTTTTTTTTTTTTGGAAGGCACAAAAGGTCCATATTTGTCCATTTGCTTTTATGTAGAGACATTTGGTGAAATACAAGTTTTAGGGCCTTGGATATGTAAAAGCAACATGAAATTAATGGTGTGGGAAGTTGGGAGAAAAGCTACAAAGAATTGATTTGCTAGTATATAAGCAGCACTTAAAAAGCAATAAATAGCCACTCATTGATTTTATATTCAGAAGCTATTGCAACTCCAGTTTATTCAAAGTAAAATTCTTCATATTAATCACAAAAAATAAAATTAGGTACCTCCATTAAAAAGAGCATACCATTATGAAAAAAGGCCCCAAACTTGATAAACAAAGTTTTATCAAAATAGTGAAAGACCAAAGTATGTTTTGATTTTATAAAATTTTTTAATCCTTTCTAGTACATCCAAAATCTTGGTTATAAATCTATTTTTTTTTATTACTTTATGGGATTAGTATAATAAATTTTATCATTTTTGCAATAAAAACACATTTGGAAATTCTTGCAAAAATCAAATTGCTGGATTTTAATAAAATTTTTAGTATTTATTGAAAAGGATGAAATTTTTTTCTTTTTTTTATATGTTAAAATGAAAATGTTGGAAAAACTCCTTACCTTTTCCAGTGGCAACAATGTCACCTACAGTGACACGCATTATATAGGTGGGCTCATGAGTAGCCCCTTCATTTGATATGAGATCATATTGAGGGGTGAGACCTCGTTTGGTGCATAATTCCTGCAGGTGACTGATGGGAGTCTTTCCAGGTGGAATTGTCATCTAAAAGACAAAACAAAGTAATAAACAAACAACTGACATAAAAATTGCTTCAACTTTACATAAGCATAAGATTAGTTTTCTTCAATGAACATTTAAGTTAGAAGTTTTCATCAAGATCTTAATATTTTCTTTTAAAACTTGTATCAATTCTAATCCTCAAATACATTTTATGCGGTGTATATGAAAGCATTCAACTAAAGCTATCATTTGGATAAGGGACGCATGGTATCTACAAAACCAAAATCATTAGAGATATTTGCCATAGCTTAGGTACCTACACGAAATCGCTAAAAAAAGAGCATAGCTTGATGAAAAAGATGCCAACCTTGCCGAAAACTAAATTTTATTGTCTAAATGCTTATGTTATTATTAAGAGGAAAGACCAAAGTTTGTTTTTTTTTTAATTATTTTAAAAAAATTTTCCTTCTTTTTAGAACATTCTAAATTTTGATTAAAAAAACCTTTTTTTTCTATTTGTATCATGAACTAGTAAATAACAGACAATTTTAGCACGTTTTTTTGGTATGACACATTAATTTGAAAAATCGTGCAAAAAATAGAAATAATTATCGAATGTTAATGAAACTTTCAGGAACTATTCACAGATGATTGAAATTATTATAAATATGTTTTTTTATGAAAGTCATGGTAGAAATATTTTTTAAAAATATTTATTACCCCCCATAACTAATTTTATGAAAACGCTAGAAATTGATCACATCGGTTTTAGTGATTACAATAATTAAAAGCACAGGGCTTTGAGGAATGCAAATCATTTTTTTTGTTTTTAATTGGATATGCAGTACCTGAAAATCAGCTCTGAATTGTAACATACAAAACTCAATAAAACAAAGATATTATTTAATTTCAAATGCTTTTATTTTTTTTTTAGTTGTTTTTATGAATATGGACAATATTTTCTGAAAGCAAAAAAATTTTTTCGATGAAAAATGAATTTTAATACAATTATTTGTTATTTCATTAATTATAATAGATTTTACATTTAAGTTGTTAAAATATTATAAAATTAGTTAAAAGCCGCATCGGCTTTCATAAGTTTATGAGATAGATCTTTTTTTTTTAGCGCATTGTAAATTGTATCATTTTGACTAATCAGAAGATCCCCAGTAATTAAGAAATGTAATTTTGTGCTTATAATCGAGCTGTAATTATAAAATACGGAAGACCAACCAGAATATAATTAAGTTGCGTTATTTGAGTTAAGCATTGTTCTCCGCTGTTAAGGCCTTTACTTTTTTTGTAAACACGTGTGGAGAAGTTAATTTGATTTTTCAATTTCAACCGAGAAGGGTACCTACAAGTATCAGTATCATCTTATGAAATTTATATGATCTTATTTTTATATTAATCTCAGTTACGACATTTTTCCATAAATGAAATATCAAAATTAATAATAAAATGAATGCAAATAACAGTAGAATGTAATAAATGTACATAAAATTATAGTATTTTATGTACAATTCTGATAAAGTTTCATAAGAAAAGGTACCTATAAATTAATTAGATACCTTTCTTAAGAAATATGAAATTTAATGTCACTCTTAACAGTTTTATTTTAATTTCTTTACAATATATTTCCCATTTCTTCTTCCGTAGAATGGAATTCGTAAATATATCATTCATCATATGTCAAGAGACGCGAAAGTTTATGACCTGCTTTGTTTTATTTTCAAATTACATCTTTTTGGCACAAAAGCTAAGTTAAGTTTGGTTCAAAATATTTTAAATAAACATTATAATTTCTGATTTTCTTAAAATAAGTTTTGAAAAATGATAATTGATATTTAAAAAATTTCAAAGTCAGATTTCCAGTTTTTTTAAAATGGTAAAAAATGGTCAATTTTGCTGACTCAAAAAAAAAAAACTAGATTTTTAACGAAAATTTCGGACGTGCTAGGAATGATTAAAAATGGAAAAATACCCTAAAAAAATACTTTGACCTTTCCTCTTAATAATAACAAACATTTAGACGATAAAATTTTGTTTTCGTCAAGTTTGGCGTCTTTTTCATCATGCTATGCTCTTTTTTTAGTGATCTCGTGGAGGTACCTATTTTGATCATTCAGGTAAAAAAAAAAAAAAAAATAAAAAGACAGATCCTCATGTATAAAAAAAAAAAAAAAAATACCCAAATAGTAAAGTTCTTGTGAGTACACACAAACCCACTTTTACATTGTAAAATTTTATTCAAATTAAAATATACTTAGATTTATTCTACTTACAAAATTAGATCTTTGAAATCTTCCCTGAAAGCTTAAGAAAACAAAAAACAACCCCCCCCCCAGAAGTACAAAATCATTGGGTTTTTTTTTTTTTTTCTTAAGGCATACAAAATGAAAATGTAAGAAAAAATAATTTAAACAAAAATTATCTGGACATCATGAAACTTATTTTTCAGCCTTTGTTAGATAATCTGTTAGAGGTTTATTTTCTTTATAAGAAAATTTTCACTTTTATTAACTTTCAAATTTGAAGGTTTTATAGGATGGCATGTAGTCATGTCATTAACAAACAGAGGTGAAAATGGAATAAAAATTGCTCATGACTATGCAAATGGAGAAAAGAAAAGATATTCAAGAAGAACATAGTTGGGAGTAGTTATATGCTCATAAGGTAAATAGAATATAATAAAGATAAAAACAAGAGACCAGTACACAATCACCTTATCACAGTGAAAGAAAAATAAAACATTCCCACATAACATTTTTATAGCACATTCCATGTTTATAGGGGGAAAATGGCATTAACGACAAAGCAATAATCTTTTCCACATGGTAACAAAGTCATAATGCAATATTTTTGATAGTATTTGAATTTGTTATGCAATTTTATTTACTGCTATACAAGAACCAATAAAGTTTGTAAATTAATCTATATTAACATTCAAGTACATGAATAAAACTTAGCCACCGACATACATTCTCCAAGTATAATTTAAGAACAAAGATTTTGAATACATTATTTTGGATGATCAAATAGACACTGAAAGCCACAAATCTTTTGCCTGAAAACTGACTGGAAGCAAAAACATTGAATAATGTAAAAGAAATTTACAACATAAGCACATGAGCAACTATAATTATTTAGAAACACTTGTCAAAAAGAATCAAAGATTAAAACACATGTAGAAAAAAATTTACATTACCCAGGAAGGTAAAAAAGACTAAAGCAGTGCAGGTAACATGCAATCTGGTACATATTTTTAATGTTTAAAAATAAAAAAGCAGGGTTGAGATGATTTTAAAGAAAGTGACTGCACTCACTGATTCAGGTTGTCCTGTGGGAGTCATCTATGTGGATTTTAATATTTTTTTTTTTTCTAAAAAAATTTAAGATGCTGCATAGCAAAATGCTGGAAAGAGAAAAGTAGTAAGTTGGAATCTATGAGAAATAAAAAAAGGTCACATATATATTTGATTGAATATGCATGTGATAAAGAAATTAGAAAAAAAAAAAAAAAAAAAAATTAAAGCAGGGGTGAGCAAGAGTATTTTATCAGTTACTGATTTTATAAATTTACAATTTTTTAGTGCATATTCATTTTATTCTAATTGTGAAAAGTGTTTTGACTGTAGTGAACATATTCATAATAAGATTGCAATGAAGAACCACAGAAATTTGACATTTTTCAGCAAATAAAAAAAAATTAGGAGATCTCATAAGAAAGATATATCATTCCTGGACAACTTTTTAGTAGTTGAAATGAAATAAGGTTTTAAAACATCTTGGTTCAAGAAAGTTGTTAAAAATGGAATATTTTTTTAAAAATTTCATTAAATATGAAAATTACTTAAATATAGCTCAGTGCGTTTTGTGATATGGAAAAACAAGTACAGAAAGTATAACAAATTTAAGATTTCATTGTGAATCATTATCTCAAGAAATTTTTAACTATATTAAAAAATGAAATATATTGCAATTATTGTATGTTATTTTTGCTTAAAGTAAAAATTGCTAAGTGCTTTAAATTAACATTTACAAATGTGCTAGTCACAGTGATACATGTAAAATGATAAAGAAATTTATGCCTTTTTAAGATATGAAATAATTTTTTTTTTAATATTTGCATTCATATATTCTAAGTTTTCTCTTCAGAATCTCTAGTATGCATCTCTGAAAATGTTTAATGGAATTACTACAGAATATTCATCAACATTTAAATGCAGTATATACAAAACAAAACTTATGCACACATTTTTATGTTGTTATATTAAGATTACAGTGAAATCTTGGACTGACAAGAAAAGATTATTGTCATGTGATGACAAAAAATGCTCAGCTTTAAATTTTTATTAAAAATAGATTATTTTTGTTTATGTTGTGATAGATGTCATATCAGCACATGTTAAAATAAATGCAATTTGAGTATTTTTGCTTATTCTAAAATTTGAAAATAAGCACATTATGCATTTTAATGAAAAAAGTAAAACTGACCCAAATACATATATATATGCAGTTTATGAAGTTTCATGCAGAGAACTTCTTGCTGAACAAGGTTTCAGTTAAGCAGACCAATTCAGGTTGGTCAATCAAAATGAAGACCCTTCTTGAAAAACATTTCAAAACAGTGGAGATAGCCAACCTCAAAATTTATAGTAGTTTGATTTTTAGTGGTTTCAATGTGTAAGCAAAAACAGAAGACATGTATTTCAGTATGTTATTTGCTACTTAATAGTAATAAAAAAATTAATTATGAGGAAATTAAAAAAATGTTTTTACAGAAATGTTAAATTAAATATAAGATTATTAGGCAAGTAAAATAAATTACCACTAATTGTACCCAAAGCCAGTTTTCATCCAAAGGTGATACAGTAGTATGTATTGAAAAGAATTTCTCCACTATGACACCTTCTGGAGAAGCAAATGATTTATTCAAATAAATACGGCTGACAATTAGGCCAATTAGAGGCAGTAATAAATAAAAACTAAAAAGCATCCAGAATTAGTTAACAGAAAAATAGTAATATTCTATCAAGATACTGTTAGAGAGCAAGTTTCTTTGCTAAAGAAGCAAAAAAAAAAAAAAAAAAAAGTTAGATTGTTTATTGTAAATTATCAATTATTATTCAATAAATATTGCACCATTGAATTACCACATAAAATTTGATGTTTTTTAACATTGACTTTTGTCATTATTCATCTAAACCAGTACACACACACACATTTATTGTTTATTTTAAAAATAAACAACTGTCATACCCTTTAAGATTCTTGTCTAAAAATGAGAAAAATAATTTTAAACCTCAGAATTAAAGTATTCTCCACAATAGGCACACTTATGAATTATTGAATTAGTTTTTTTTGGCACAATCCCACACCAGTGATCAAATACACTTACTCAATAATAACGGTCAACTAGACCAGACAAGCATTCCTAACAGTTAACCACACTGATGTATTGTTATTCCATTAAATTAGATAATAAAAAACCACTCAACCAGTCACTATATAATCATTCTACAGAATTAAAAATAAAAAAAAAACATGTGACTATAAAGTTTTGTGTGTTCAGTTTTCTAATAATTTAAGAGAGAAAGGCTAAAAGATAGACAATTGCACAAGTTTGATAGAGATATTTTTTCTGTTTTTCTTTTTAACAGAATTTTTTTATTTTACAAGCTCATAAACGTAAAAACTCCAAGATATTTTTTCAAAATAACCAAATGAATTTGGATTTAAATATCTTATCCCAACATGTACACAAAAGGTAAGTAATTTTTAAAATAAACATCAATTTGTAATATCTGATTCATAAGAAATAAAAAAACTATTTCAGTGGAACTATCAAATAACGGCTAAAAAGCCTTTGATAAATATCCAAAGTTAGAATTTATAATTAAGTTTCAAGGAATGCCTTCCATAAAAGTTAGTGCACTTTGCTCAAAATAGAAAGTGAATTTTCTGAGTAAATATTTAAAAAAAATAAATATGCATCAAGTGAATAATTAGCAAAATGTGAAGCACTGTAATCATGGCCAACATTTTTATAGATATTTTTTAAATTTCTAATTTTAGTTTTTACTGTCCATTTACAAAAACGAGGAAGGATAATCAGAGAACTCAGAAATTTGGAGATTTTCAAAATGGTAGCGTTTTTAGATGTGTTTCTAATACACAAAAGTAAAACTCAAGAATCACATGTGGAAGTGAAACATTTAAAATTTTAAATTAAGCTAAAAGAAAGTTTAATTTTATTGAAAAAAGTTTAAAAAAAAAAAACATTAGGATTTTCTCAATATTTACGTTTAAGAGTGGAGTAGAGAATTTTCCAATAAATTATTTTGAAGCTAAAAATAAACAAAAAAAAAAAAAAAGTAAGTAAATGAAAACAGATTTTATGGAATTTTGATCTTACGAATTGGGTGAGCAATCAACTTTAGAAGAGGGATAAAGATAAATTTTCAAAACCCAATGCAGTTTCCACTTTTCTCAATTGATATCCTCCTCTTCTGCCTGACCTTATATTTTAGTTAAAGTCAAGGTTGAAATGACAGAATATCAAATAACAAATTTCGAAAAATTAATTAACAAAAATCTTAGTTAAAAAAATATTGTATGAGTGCGATTTGGAGATTGCCTGAAACCAATTTAAACAAAACAAAAAGACAATTTCTTTTTACAATAGAAAAACACACAATCCCTATTAATTAGAATTATCAATTATTTTAAAATATCTATATAAAAAAAAAGCTAGGCAGAGGAAACATACAGAATTCTAGTAAGAAAAATAATTCTGCATAGAGAGGTAATATTCTTCTTATATTCTGAAACGGCATTAAAAAAAAAAAAAAACCTGTTCCATTATTATGTATTAGCCGTAAGAAAAAAAAATATATGTTTAGAATTTAGAAACATTTTCTAAACATAAAACTAAAAAGAGTAATTCAGTAATACATGAAGCATTAAACAATAACATCTTTGATATTTCACTCCACTAGTGTGCTCAAACTAAAAAGCCCCAACAACTGAGACTGCCGCTGAATTGTTTAATTCAACATTGGGGAGGAGAGATTTTATAAAATAGATACTAGAGATTGTCATCAGTATTTAATGAAACGGAATTTTACATATCAAGAACGATGATGGTTGTTCAACTGGAGTGATAATGCGAATAAAACAGAATTACAAAGAAGAGGTATGCATAGATTAACAGCGGCTTTCCTTCAGCAGATCAACGTTAAATGTACATTGCACAAGAAGAGACAGTATAACGGACTGCACAGTAGCATGCCTTGTACTTTATAAATGAGCATTGAGAAATAGGACATCTTTGACTGAGACAAACATTTATTATGAGATAGAAATTTTTTTTTAATTCAAATAGGTCTTCAGTAGTTAGTGTTTCCAATCAAATATTAATGGAATTTGTCTTTAAGAAAAAAATAAATAAATTCGACCTATGTAATTAATAGATAAATCTACCAAGATTTTTATTAGTTTTCTAACTTCCCATTTATTTTCACGTCTAAGTACATACTAATAGTAGAAATTATACAATTTTCAACATGGCTCTAAGAGTTTTTAACCAAAATAGTCTTTACTCTTTCTTTAGTCATCAGGCTGCGGTGTTTTAAAGGATGTTGAAAAGGTCTGTGTTCCTTAAAGCAAGCTTTTAAATAAAATGAAAAAGATCGGCGTTAAAACTGTAAGGTTTCAAATTCAAAGAATTCTTATTGAATCTTTTTGACTTTCATTGTCAATATTTCAAATACAACTAAATAAGTAATTTTTTCCAACTGGCAATGCTCGACTAAAATTCACGTTGGAAACTCGAAGATTTACACAAAAATCCAATCAATAAACATAACAGCACCATTAAATGACTTAGTCGGATAGTGTGCATTTTTGCTTTGACAATTTTATCTCATTGACTAAAGAATAGAGGAAATAAAAATTTCGATAAATAAATGAGTATTTTTAGACAATTTTTTATAAATTAAAAAAAAAAAAAAGACTTGGCATATATTGAGACATTTTCATTTATTGCTTGAAAGAAGAAAAAGGAGTTAACAGCGAAAGAGAAATGTGTATTGTATAAATGATGTTAAATCCCAAAATTATATATCTAAAAAAATAAAAATCAACATCGTGAATAAACTACTACACATTTTAAAGTATAAGGCCATTGAAAAAAAGGTTTAAGTATCAACCCATAACGCAAAAAAGAAAGAATTAAGGAAGCAGATAATGTCCGATCATAACAAATTTACATTAAAACAACTTGCAAGATTATTTTTAATGCATAATGAAACCTCACCTGCAGAAACAAAAATAACTAAGCATTAAAAAA